CCCCCCACCCGCCCCTGTGGTTTCTCTTGGGCACAGAGTAAATTTAAAAGCACTAATTTGATTTTTAGTTGCAATTAAGGAAGAAATGGGGCCTTTCAGGAGTGAGTGCTGGGCGACAGCCCATTTCTCCAGCCCTATTAACCTCAAACAAGTGCTTGCTGGAAGAGGGGCCGGGTGTGCTGCAGGGTGCAGGGACAGCAGGGTGGTATCAGCCCTCATGTCACTGTTGCAGGTGAATTAAATCTTTCCAAGTCTCTCTGACACCCTGGGCCCTGAAATGCTCCCATGGCCACTGTGGCCACACCAAACTTCATACCTCCAAGATGGTTTTTCAAAGCACTCCCAAGTCTCACCAGCTGCTTCAACATGGCCCCACGTTGCCGTGGCAGCAGGTTTGGCCACGTGTGAGCAAAGATGCTCCCAGACATTCCCAGATGAGCTGATTGTAAAACCTCCTCACTGATGTCCCAGGCTGGGCTGAAACTCTGGGCTCTCCCTGTGTTCAGGTTGGCCTGTGATGGCAGAGGGAGCTTGAGGGCTCCTAGGAATGACCCTTCCCCAAACTCCCTTGTTTCAGGTGTGGAAAGGGGCAGGGTCAGCAGCTCTTGCCTGGTTTGGGGTCAGCCTCTGGCACAGGTTCAGGAGATTATGTTTCCCAGCTCTTTTCCCTAAAACCAGCCCAGCCAGTCAGTGCTGGAGGTCATGTTGGGTGGGGACAGCTCTGTGCTCCTTCTGCTGATGGGTGGGTGGCAGAGCCAAGGTCAGTCCCTGAGGCCAGTCCCCACGTGTGTGGGCTCACAGTCCTCATCCTGCCCCACCAGGAGGTTGCTCAACAGGAGCAGTTTCCCGGTGGCACTGGAGGGGATCCTGCCCCAGTACAGGGGCTGAAGGCTGTGCTGGGCTATGTGGTAACACCATGCCAGGCTGGACGGAGGTCACCAAGCATCAAGGAGGTGCCCTCCCTGGGGACATACATCCCCAAAAACTCAACCCAGGATAGTCACATCCCCCAAATGGCCATTTCAGCAGAGAGGAAACCACTTGCAACAGCTTCTGCCAATGCCCAGCTTTCACAACAAGGTGCAACCCCACGCTGAGAAGATAATGGGTTGTGGCACTGAGCCTGAGAGGCTGTGACAGGTCCCCAGGGCAGCACTGGCCCTGGGGACTGCTGTGCTCAGGAGCTTTTTTGGGGTTAAGTCTGGACAAGGGCAGCCTGCAGGCACAGCACCACTCCTGCTCCTCCCTGGCTCCACATTCAAGAAGGTGCTGTTCGTGTCTCACTGCTTTTTGCCACCCTTGCAGCTCGTGTCCCTCTGGCTTCACTGCCATGTCCCCAGCATGGGGACTGAGTGGGGCACACAAGATGCTGCTGCTGGTTGTGGGAGGGTGATGCCAGTGACTGGAGCTGAATGGGGACCCTGAAACCCTGATCCCCTCACCCCGACACCCCAACCCCTGCCTGCCTGGGCAGGTGAGACTGGGCTTACTCAGTGATGCCCGAGGCTGGCTGTGCTGCCGGTGTCCTCACTGCCACCTGGGCATGGCCAGTGACCTGGGACAGGGGACATGCAGGAGATGACAAGAGAGAGATACAGGCAGGTCCCTGCAGGGATGGGAACAGCCAGATCTGGGGACATCACATCACCCTCCAGGTGCCACCAGCTGGGAGATGCAATGGAGCATCTGGGGAGCAATGGGGGATCAGGGGCTTGTGGGAGGGGACAGGGAGGGCTACAGGGGGGATGAAGTGAGGGGATGGCATGGATTTGGGGGCTGTGCTGGAGTCCATGGAGGGGCAAGAAAGATGTTGGCAGGCTTCAGTGGGGCAATAGGGGCAGGTGAGAAGGTGGGGGAGGGCTGTCAGGAGTGTGCAGGGGGAGACTGGGGTGCATGGAGGCGCTGTGGGGGCTGCAGAAGGGGACTGGGGGCTGTAGGGAGGGTGTGCATGGGGAGACAGGGCACACGTATGTGCCAGGGGGGGAATGTGGCACGTACCGGGAGTGCAAAGGGATCAGGGAGGGCATGGGAGGGTCTTTGGAGGGGT